CTCTCTCTCTCTCTCTCTCTCTCTCTCTCTCTCTCTCTCTCTCTCTCTCTCTCTCTCTCTCTCTCTCTCTCTCTCTCGCTCGCTCGCTCGCTCATGGCTTCCACCAAAGTCCCTCAGGTCATTACCTGCAAAGGTACAGACAGTTCTTCAACGTCTGCTCCTTTGTGACCCTAATTCACCTGCGTTCTTCACCTGCCTATGATTTCTCATCAATCTGAGTATTATTTGCTCCTCAGTCGTTGTTTATTAACAATCTGCTACGTTCTTTACCTTGTTAATTGTTATTATTCCTTAGCGATCCGAGTTTAAAGCAATGCTATCTCTATCTGTTCTGGTTTGTCTTTGCTCATCAATTAGGGCACAGAAATGACATTCTCCATTTATCCTAGTTATTTCTTTCTTGCATCTTTCTATGGACTCATGTTGATCTGTTGTTGTTGCGTGCATTTCTATAACCGAGTTTCTTTTTTTGACCTTTGCTTTAGCTGCTGTTGCTTGGGGGCCAGGTGAGCCTCTGGTTATTGAGGAGGTTGAGGTTGATCCTCCAAAGCCTTATGAAGTTAGGATCAATGTTATGTGCACATCTCTTTGTCGAAGTGATATTACGCAGTGGGAGTCTAAGGTAAGTAGGTAACTGTTACTTGACCACAATTCAAATCTTTAAGCTAAGCTAATTTTTTCCTTTTTTTTGTTTTATGTTTCATAATCGTGATACTTTTTTCTTGGTTTTGGCTAATTTTGTTAGATCCTCTGTAATTTCCATGTTTAGGCCATTTGCAAATTCGATTAGCTAGCGCAATTTATGCATGAGAGGCTTTTCCCTGTACACAAGCAATGTGTCTCTTAACTGATTGACCATTGACATTAGAGTTCGTGCTTGTTTGTACCGGTAGAGTTTGTGGATCGTCTATTTTAGCTTCCAGTGACATGGTACACTGTCTCTCTTGCTCTCTTTCCTGACTTAATTTATAGTCCGACTTAAAGCCTTTGCGTGAATTTGAATTTACAGTATTTGGATAATTTTGTAGTCAGTAATTAAAGCCTTTTCTTGAATTCCTTCATAGTAATTGGCAGTGTACAGAATATCGACTCAGCCAAGGTCCTCGGCTGTAACTCAACTGAGTTAGGTATAAATATTTTAAAACAGGAAAAGTTAAAAGGATTAATAGAAGCATAGGAGACTAAATAAGATGAAAAAAAGCTATAAAAGATGGATTATTGAAAAAGTGGATTTATACCTTGAATATTCATAAATTTTGTTTTAAAAAAGGGAAAAATATGAAAGTTCCCAAATGATCTTAAAAACTAACAAACTATTTTAAAGAAATATTTCTAACCATTATGCTAGTGTTTTCTTTTCTCTTTTTTTTCTTTTTCTTTTAAATTTTTTCATTTTTATACATTTTTTTTAGCATTTATTTGTTGTACACCTAACTAGCCAGGAACTCGCCGCCCATAGGGCAAGGCTAAGTTACTCAGACTCGGCTGAGTCCTGTCACACTGGTATGGTGCTCTTATGATAAAATTCATCATAACATAATGCAGTGTTCTAAAATGCGGGATGCGGCTCAATCTATTGGGGGGCCGATGCAGCGATGCGGCTCGATACGGTCAAAATGTTGGTGCATCACCCCAATACAGTCGATAAATATGACTTTTTAAAAAAATCTAAAAAAATAGGTTAATACATAGAAAAAAATATGGGGGTGATTTATGTGATAATTTAATTTGTTCATTAACTCCAAAAGTATCAGCTGTTGGGGATTTTGTATTCTCTATCCTTTGATAGATCATAGAAGACATTAGAAAGTAGAAACTAGAAACTTGAAACTAGCTTCATAAATTATTCAACACCATAATAACAAACTTGCGACAACAATCTTTAAAGTTACAAGATACAAACTAAAAGTCCATGAAAATTAAAAAGTCCAAAAGTCAAGACAAATCATCATTTCTCAAGTCTTGAGATTGTGAAGAAGACATTGCCCCAAAAAATAATTTACTGTAGCAAGAAAAAAAAAAAGTTTTGAAGCAAATATTGATTTCTTTTCAGCCCTTGAAACCCTCGATTAGTTATCAAAACTTCATTAAAACTCCTCAAATCAATGCCCAAAAAAAACAAATCAACAACCAAAGATCAACCAAGACAAAAATCTAAGAATTTCAAAAAAAATAAATTTCCACCACTTTTTTTTTTTATCAAAATGAAGTAAAGGCCACGGATGTGGCTGTTTTTGGCAGTTTGGAGGGTTTAATACTCTACCAAATCCTTTCCCTCCTTTTTTGGGGCTTAGAAAGTCGAAAATACTCCTTCTCGAGTGACTTTTTTTCCCATCACTCGCTGGCCGCATGTGCACCCTATGCGGGCTAAGTGGGATGTGGCGGCCTCATGCAATGCGGTTGCCAACACATTATGCGGCGATGCATTTCGGGAGCATTGGGTGTCAAAAAGCGAGCTGCATTGTTGCTTTTCAAAGATTTGGCAGTCAAGAAGATGAATTCTTTGGTTGTTATATGAGTGATTTATTTCTTTCGTTTTTCCTTTCATATTTGGCTTTCATTTGGTATTTGAAAACTTCTTAAGAAAGGAATGGTTATTTGTATTTTGAAATAAAATGATTGATCACTGTCTTTTGTGAGTTGCCTGCAGTATGAAACTTCAGCGTTATCTTGTCAATCTTCTATTATCTTTTAAAATCATAAATATATGGATCATTTGGAATAATAAAGGCGCATGTTTTATGATTTTTATTTACGCTTCATACTGTCAAATGTGATATTTAGTTTGTTAGCCCTGTAATATGCACAGCATTTTGAGGTTTATGATCCTCATGCTTATCTTGCAGGTAACAGCTCACTTGTTTCCTCGTATATTCGGACATGAAGCAGCAGGGTTTGTTCTATATCCCTTGTCCTTCATCAAAAAACCCTCTTCCTGAAATAATTACTTGTACACTGATTTCTTACAATGGGTTGACAGAGTCATTGAAAGCATCGGAGAAGGTGTTGTTGGTCTCAAAGAGGGCGATCATGTGCTCACTGTTTTCACTGGGGAATGTACAGCATGCAAGCATTGTGTTTCTGGTAAAAGTAACATGTGCCAGCTCTTGGGATTAGAAAGGAAAGGTGTCATGCATAGTGATCAGAAGACTCGTTTCTCAATCAAAGGGAAGCCTATTTATCATTACTGTGCCGTATCAAGTTTTAGCGAGTACACTGTTGTTCACTCTGGTTGTGCTGTTAAAATCGACCCACTTGCTCCTATGGAAAAAGTATGTCTTCTTAGCTGTGGAGTCTCTGCAGGTAATTCTTGGAGAGAGTATCTTTATCACACTGCTATTAGCTGCTTCATGTTTTTCCTTCTACTATCTCTCATTTTCTCCATGATGATTTTCCTTATGAAGATACGAGCAACTTGAAATTTGACCAATTGGGTTTATCACAGAGTTGGTATTCTTGCTCTTTTGTCCCCGTGTTTTTTCTTTCGTAGCATGATCTCAATGTTCAACGAATGCTGCATTTCCCACAGCCTCATCATTCAACAATTCATTTGCTCAAGAATTGATTGAAATTTCATTCCAACCATCTGAATATTTTTATCTTACAATATTGTATTAATAACTTTGTTGCGATGAAGTAACACCATTTTGCCACCTGTACTGTTCATGATAATCATCATCATATTGGACGTCAGATCATCTGGAAGTTACATATGTTTTTGCAGGATCAACAATGGTCTTTATTAATGAATTGGTATGCATAGCTGATTACCCATTAATTAAAGACAGCAGATTGATGGCCACAAAAAAATTATTTTTTCAAAACTGCCCTTAATTTCTATACATTACACATGCTTGTCAATTAAAACAGAAATACAAAATTGTGTCCTTTGTTTGGCTCATTGTGCCTTTATGTGTCTCTTGTTTACTTTTTGCTGATAATTAAAATGTTCGTGAGTTGAACTCTCACTTGGAACCTGTATAATTCATTATCGGCTTCATCATATTAGGTCTTGGGGCAGTTTGGAAAGTCGCTGATATTTCTAAAGGATCAACTGTGGCCATATTTGGCCTAGGAACCGTAGGTCTCTCTGTAAGTATGAGAAATTTTTGGAATCATTTATTTCTATTATTACATCTTTTCTGAAAATGCAGGAGTCCCAAACATTTATTTCTATTAGTGTTGATGAATCATATGCTCTTTTGATGATTAGGTAGCTCAAGGTGCCAAATTACGAGGGGCATCTCAAATAATTGGAGTGGATACTAATCCTGAAAAGAATGAAAAAGGTGGACTCAAATTTGATTTTTGGTATTTATGTTGTATCCCCTGTGTATATGGACCTAAAAGTTATTAAATGTGTCATCTTATTCGGCAGGAAAATTGTTTGGAGTGACAAATTTTATCAATCCAAATGAGTGCAAGGAGCCAGTACAGCAGGTAGGCTTTCCCCTGCAAATCCGAGTTTGGATTTCTCAATCTTCTCTCTCTATTCTTGTTGCGTGGGATTTGAAGGGTCATTAGTGATAGAGTGAGGAAGGGGATTGAAGTTGTCAAAAAAGTTATGAAGACCAGTCATGGAACCCGGTGGGTGCTTAGTTGAGAAGAGTTTAGAGGGGAGCAGTAGAGGAAATAAAATTGAGTTGATGGAAGCCTATTGTAAGCACTGATGCTTCCCAATAATGTTGACTATCTATCTGCAGCACAAATTTGATGAAATTTACTTACAAAATTAGTTCAATGCACTCAGGGAGACTAATCAGGGATGAGTTTGGCAACGTTTAGAAGGTGTTCTAAGGTTTGATGGGATAATTGACCGTTGAGGGTGCTTAGGCGTGGGCATTTGCCTCAATACCTTTATACCTTCTTAATTGTATATACAATAAATTTCCATGCCCCTTTCCTTCTGCCATTTAGTTAAGGAAGGTGATATCTCTTTAGGTATGACACATAGAGTATGGGCTACCTGTGCAGCCTATTTCTTGTCGAGATGGAATGGCATATTGGAGGAGATTCTCATTCTTTCAAGCTCGTTGGGCATCTTACATGAGCTACTTCTTAGAGTAGCTAATGTAGACACAAATCCCCTGACCCCTGTCTATTGTGAGAAGGGGTCAGGGGATTTGTGTTAGAATATTTTAGTAGTTGATTTTTTAGAGTAGCTAATTCTAACATTTTTTAGCGTAAATCTTGTATACCTACACTATTTCACTGATTATCAATAGAAATATTCTAAAATATTCTATAGACTATTTTTTAATAATTATTGTTTCAAAAAAAATTAAATTTTTAGAAACAAATACCACCAATGGCTTTTGTGCTGTCAACTGGGAACTCCCTTGTTATTAGACATCATAAAGCAGCTTTACATCTCTAGTTTGGGGTAACTAAACCTTTCATGTAAATTTTCAGGTTATAAAGAGTATTACAGGTGGGGGTGTGGACTTCTCTTTCGAGTGTGTCGGTGATACCGACATTACAAATGCTGCGTTGCAGTCTTCTTGTGATGTAACTTGTTATCCCTCTGTGCTCTATATTCAACATTGCAATTTAACCTTTTTAAATAATATTTCTATGATTTGATTTCTCTATTTGTTGGCTCAGGGGTGGGGTTTAACTGTAACCCTTGGAGTTCCCAAAACAAAACCTGAGATTTCAGCTCACTATGGATTGCTTCTTTCTGGGAGGACTTTGAAGGGTTCCCTCTTTGGTGGATTGAAACCGAAGTCTGATCTGCCTTCGATAGTGGAAATGTACCTAAGAAAGGTAAAGATTTTCATGCCTTCTTTATGTTATTCCTTTATATAAAAATATAAAACAAGACCACACTGCATACAATCCGTAGCCTGAATCAGGTCCGACAAACTCGGCCGAGTCTCTCATAGACTTGATGAAATCCAACAAAAATAATAATAAAACGTTAGGAATCAGCCAGACTTGGTCACCTGGGTTTGGTTCCGGACTCAGCAGTCTGCAAGTCTGAATCGCACTCGCTAAGTTTTGATTCATTAATCTTTGTTTTGAAGCATGGCATTTGGCGGTTAAGGACTATTTTTGTCCTTAATTCCATAGCAAGGATAAGTCTCCATATTTTATAAATAAGATCATTCCAATCAGTGGGTTAAGGATCAGAACTAGAAAAGTTGCTTGGCTGATCGTTTCTAGTTTAACCACTGATCCCATGAGGCTTCCATGGGGGTATCAAGTTGACACCATACATTTAGAAAACAAAACATAAAAATAAAAAAATGAAAATTTGCAAATAATCTTCTACAATTAAATATCCAAGAAAAGAAGAAAAAACAAAGAGATCATTGCGCATGGTTTGAGATAAAATAGTTTTTTAACGGAGGTGCACAGGGAGGCCTCCTATGACATTTCGACTAGTACACCTTGTCTGAAATTAGGGGTGGCAATGGGCCCGGACCCAGGTCGGGTCCTAGTAGAGGTCCAAAAATTGGACCCGGTAGGTCAGGTCTGGGTCCAAAACTTGTACCCAAACACTATTCGAGTCTAGGTCCACGTGGACCGAACCCAAATAGTGTTAAATAGTGTTATGATCTAAATAATACTTAAAATATAATATTTAAGTAAGGGAAAAGTTTATATAGAGCCAAGGCTCTAAACAATTAAATTATAGCCCACTCAAAAATTTCATTAGAAGGGGTTGTTTTGATGCCCAAATATCCTCAAATTGATCATCAAGATGCATGGACATGAGAAAAAAATGGATTCAAGTTTTAAAAATACTGCATTTTGTAACGCATTTTTGGACCGTTAATTTTCAAGATTTTCAAGTTTTCATATATCTGCTCGATACATTATTTTTTAAGCTTTAAATTTTATAATTAAAGATGAAAATATATTTTAAGACTATCACAAAGATTTCTAGTATTGAAACCATATTTCTCGACACTACTTGAAGATACGCCTTACTTTGATTGTTTAGAGCCTCAGGTCTATATAACTTGCACCTTTTAAATAAATATAACTATATAGTTGTAGTTACAATATTTAAATAAATACATGTATATATTCCATATAACATTTAAATATATTTAAATTTAACTATATAGTTCTAGTTATAATATTTAAATAAATACATGTATATATTGAATATAACATTTAAATGTATTGAAATTTATGTAATTTTTTATTTTGGGTTGGGTATAGTCAGGTTCGAGTCCGGCCAGATCTGGACTCGACTCGACCCATTGCCACCCCTATCTGAAATCAAAGTAATAGAAATTCCAAAAAAAAAAAATAGAAGTTCCAGAAAGCCTAATATCCTAAAATCTTGAGGATGTCGGGTTTCAGGTAAAAAACATCTATGTAAAGGAAGAAATTTATTTGTCAAAAAAAAAAGAAAAAAAAAGAAAAAAAAAAGAAGAAATTTCTTTCCGAGTAACTAGATCTACACCGTCTAGTTACAATGGACGTGCTAATCACACCAAAGATCCCTTGTCTCAATTTTCAGGTGCAATTTACACAGTTTAATTACATTGGACCGTTCGTATTTTAGGGCCCACACCTGTTAGAGCTTCTACCAAAACCACATCCAGGAAATTAAGAGAAGAAAATCACCCCGTAAACTGACTTCATAATCCTGAATGGGTTGTGGGAAGAAGCGGTTGTTTTTGCATATTACCATGTCATTTACAAAAAAAATTATATGCTCCCTCAGAAATATGAAATATATTTGGCGAATTTATCAAAATATCCATAATAGATTAATTATTTAACATTCTTTGCAACTATTCGAAGACAAGATCATGTGTTGCGTTTTTATAGGTATTTTGAAATTAAATCAAAAGATATGAGTAATGTGTTAAAATTGTTCGTCTTCAATAAGTAATACGATAAATTTCCTTACATCTCGCCTCAAGTAAAACTCTAGCTAGGAGCAGTTTTAAGACCCCAAAATATGGGATGTAACCTCCCCTAGCAACCAACCAAGCACGTATGTTTCTATGAGGTTGCAACCTTCAACAATCCAATTAAGGTGCACCTCCAAATTTTATCAGCATGTAATTTAAGTGTAAAACATTATTAGGATTATCTGAAAATCTATTTTTATATTTAATTATAAAATTTTAAACTTCAAAAATGATTAAAATGAAGTAGATCTATAAACATATGAAAATCTTGAAAATGGACGGTCTAAATAATGTTTTGCAAGATGTATTTATTCCGGTACCCAAATTTTATTTTATTTTTCATATTCATACATCTCGATATCAAGATGATCAATTAGAAGGTTTTTTAACATTAAAGCAACATTTTATGATGGATTTTTGAGGCTACATTTTAAGGTTGTAACCTTATAGAACTTTTTCCAAAGAATAATGTCCTTTGTACTAAATAACGACGATTAAAAGTTATTTGGATTGTTAAATCAAATTGTTTAGGAAATCAATATCCTTTTATTCTCGCTTTTTCTTTTTAAATATTATTACGGTGATTCTAAGGTGGGATATCAAAAAATTATAATTTTGATGTGAGAAAACCCCGAAATTGACCATCTCCACTATCATGGATATGAGGGGGGAAAAAAAATTCCAAGCCCCAAAAATAAGGGAAAAGTATGCTCATTCCCTTTTTGGTGGACTTCATCCCCCCTTAAACTCTTGGTCCACATGATACCAGGGGAAGCCCCAACTTTTAATAATAGAACACTAAACTTCCTTTCTCATATTTTTACTATTCAAATTATTTTTCTAACACTATTCATTGTTCTATTCCTACCTTTAACCCATGTTTCAAAATATATCCCAAATCTATTATCCAAATTACCTTTATGACATTATTCTTTGTTCTATTCCTACCTTTAACCATGTTCCAAAATATATCCAAAATCTATAACCGATTGAAACTCCTCACTCTCTCTCTACCCCTTTTTCCTCTCTCCATCTCTACTTGCCAAGTCGCCGCACTATAGATAGGGGAACGATTTCATGCGGTTGTATAGTAGTATAATGCAACTATATTCAAAAACCATGTTGACGACATTTGTTTGACACAAATTTTTAAATGAACACTCTTTTCATTCTGAAGAACAATCACAAAAAAAAAAAAAATTGAAAAAATGCTCTAGAAAGTTTTCATTATGGCCCAATTAATATAAGGCATCTATTTTATTGAGATGGTTAGATATAGTCTTCAGAAGGAATTTTTTTATTCCCAAAATATTTATATAGTGTTATCATCATTAGATTAATAATTCTAAAAAAAAAAAGTGATTTTGAATTTGTTGAGGCCTAGATCTTGAAATTCACCAAATGGATGGTCGAGATTCATTGTTGGATGGATACTAATTTTGACTATATCTAGGACGCAAACTGAATTTTTTTTTTCTGTAGGATTGATTATGAGGATGAAGAGAATGTATGTGCAAAATTTGGGGTCATACAAATGCTAAAAATATGGTTTTCTAGCGGTGTGATTGCATTATACTACTATACAATCATTGCAGTAAATCATTTCTCATAAGGATACGGGAAATGATCTAATGCAACAGTTGTACAGTAGTATAATACAACCATCTTCAAAACCATGTTAGAGACATTTGTTTGACAATTTTTAAATGTACACTCTTTTCATTCTAAAGAGCAATCACAAAAATTTTTTTTTTGAAAAAATGCTCTAGAAAGTTTTCATTATAGCCCAATTAATATAAACTTTCTATTTTATTGAGATGGCTAGATATAGTCCTCAAAAAGATTTTTTTATTTCCAAAATTTTTATATAGCATTATCATCATTAGATTAATAATGCTAAAAAAAAAAAATATGATTTTGAAATTATAACTTACCTCAAAAATTTCACTAGTAGAAGTTGTTTTGATGCCCAAATATCCTCAAATTGATCATCTCGACATCAAGATGCATGGACATGATAAAAAAATGGATTTCAAGTTTTGAAAATAGTGTATTTTGTAATGCATTTTTGGACCGTTAATTTTCAAGATTTTCAAGTTTTCATAGATCTATCGATCTACACTATTTTTTAAGCTTTAAACTTTATGAATAAAGATAAAAATATATTTTAAGGCTATCACAATAATTTTCAATATTGAAACCATAATCTCGATACTATTTGATGGTAGGCTCTAATTTGATTGTTTAGAACCTAGGTTCTATACAAACTGCACCCTTTCCCATATATATATATAGAAAAAACTGGGATTAGCCCACTAGTTCATATAAACATATGAGTTCAACGGTCCGGATTGAATCTGGGCCAATCTGACTGTCATAGATATCCATTAGTATTTAAATTTTAATTCTTTTTTCTATAAATCCAAATCACTTGAAATTTTAGGTATGTATTTTTCTTATCAAGACACACTTAATAAAAATATAAAAAAAATCATTCGTAAAAAATAAAATGATCAAAATACCCTCAAAACTTTTGGGGGGTATTTTGGTAAATTTATTTTATGTAAAATATTTTTTTTGATATTTTTCCAAGATTCATCTATTTTTTATGAACACACGTCTAAAATTTTAAATGATTTGGATTTGTAGAAAAAAAATTAAAATTCAAATGTTGACAAACAGTTATGACCGTCAGATCGGTCCAGATCCAATCTGAACCATTGGACATATAAATATGAGC